GATTGCTCCCTCCTAGCCCACGGAGTGGGCCTTTCGCACCCTGAGCTGAGGCCCTGAGTCTCCCTTCCTTGAAAAGCCACCTGGACCGTGCCCGTCACCCTGGGTGGGCCCCCCCCCCCCCGTGCCCTGTCACGGTCTTCAGTGACGAGGCTCAGCTCTGTGCTGTCTTGGCGCACCCTGGTGTCCCCGTGCCCAGTAGATGTGCACTGCAGTGGGTGGGCTGCTGCCTCCCTGCGGGTGGAGACAGGGCACCAACCTCCACCCACCGCTCAGTTTTGCCTTGTTGGGAGTTTGACAGGCAGAGCCCCAGTCCCATCAGCCCAGCTTGTGTTTTCTGTTTCTTCACAAAATTTTAATTTCATCCTCCTTTCCTTTTTTTTTTTTTTTTTTTTTTTGGTCAGTCCTCACCTTCCCTTCCCCCATTCTTTTTTTTTTTTTTTTTTGACTGATTGCTAAGTCCACATGGGTCTCGCTCTCAGGCTGGTGCCAGTTTAGTCACTGACTCATTCTTCCTTCATTCACTCACTCATCCACAGTTTCTTAAGTGTCTCCAGTGGGCTGGGTTCTGTCCTAGGCCCTTGGGGCACAGCAGCCTAGGGATACAGAGCCTATGCAAAGGCCCTGAAGCAGGACCGTGCCTGGTGTGTTGGAGGAACAGGGAGAAGGCCCGTGTGGTGGAGCAGAGTGAGCGAGAGGGAGAGAGGGAGGAGGTGAGGGCAGGGAGCAGAGGGGGCAGGCTGAGAAGGGCTTCTGGGCTAGGAGAGGACTTGCGCTTTTATCCCAGGGAACCCAGGACGGCTGCGGTGGGCAGAGTAGACAGGACCTGACTTAAGGGCTCACTGGCGCCCTCTGGTGGTTGCTCTGAGGGGAACAGACTGCGGGGGCGGGGCGGGGGTAGGGTTGGGGGGGTGGGGGGCGTTGCGGTGTCAAAGGTTGAGGAGACTGCTGGTCCAGGTGGGCCATGACGGGGTTGAAAGGAATGGGGAACAGTGGCACATTCTGGACACACTGGAGTCTAGTAGAGCCTAGTGCTGAAGGACATATGTCAAGGTTCCCTCTCTGGGTCCTAGGGGCCCACAGTCCTTTGGCAGCTTCTTCTGCCTTGGTTTCCACGTAAAACTAATGAGGAGAAGCAGCTCCTGCTGAGGCTTGTGTGTATGCAGAGGGGAGAGGACTGCGTCTGTCCCTCCCTCTGTCTGTCCCCCCATCTGTCAAAAGTCAACAGGCATTCAAGGTGTCTGCTAATGGCAGGATCTGACCAGACCCGCCAGCAGCAGCAGCGTGGCTGTGCCCCGAGGCAGGCCTTGGCCTGGAGACGGGCTGCACGGGGCGGGGTCTCCCAGCTCTGCACGTCAGGCTCTTCCCCTCCTCCAGGCTAGTTTTAAAAAATAATTTCTTTGAAAAAATGGAGTGGCTCATTCAGAAGATTAGTCCCATCTTGGGCTGGGAGGAGCGTCACATCTGGTGTGGCCTCTGCCTTGGGGCGGGGCGGGGCGCCCCCCTGCCGGCGTAGGCAGCTCTGTGGCCCTGTGCCGCAGGCTGGCCCCTCGGCCGGCCGCTGCCCGTTTCTGAAGAAACGTGGAGGCTGAGAGCAGCAGGGTCACTGCCCTCACAGCATCGTGCGGTGGTGGAGCAGGCAATGAGGTTTAGAAAAGGAATTTCAGAGAGCCGGTGGGGACATGCAGACAGCAAAGCTGGGGAATGTAGCCTGAGTGACAGGGCAAGGGGGTGACAGTGGCCTCTCTGAGAGGGGGTTGGAAGGAGAACGGAGAACGAAGGGCTGAGGGGCCGGCCTTGAGAAGATCTAGGGGAGGGTGTTTTGGGCAGAGGGAACGGCACATGCCAAGGCCCTGAGGGGCGTGTGTATCCATTCCCTGCACCTCCCCCACAGGCCTACAAGAATTCAGACACCTACGGTAGGTCTAGGTCGGTAGGTCGGGAGCAGGACACATAGGGGGTGTGGTTTGTAGGAAAAGCCAGAACCTGTGTTGGGCCTGCTCTGGCAGAAGACTCAGGTGGTCATTGCTGGGTGGGCTCCGGGTCCAGGGGCCCCTAGACGTGGTCTAGAATGTTCTGCCCTGGTCCACCACCACTGGCTTCCTGCCTTCTCTTCCTTCTCCACACCCCAAATGCAAAACCATGAATTGTTCTGCTGTTGGGCAGCCAATGAAAATATTATGTCAGCTTTCCGGCACCTTCCGGCCCCCGCCTGCCACCGGCCAGGACTTGGGATATGCCAAAGCCCAGATTTATCCCTGGGGCTAGGGTGCTGGGGCTGGAGACCTCAATATCTGCCAGTGAGCACCCAGGGTCTGGTGTGATCCCCACGTGGCTGGTGTATCCTGGTCCAGCTGCCCCTTCTGGAGCCCCGGGTGGTGACTCAGTCTGTTAGCTTTGTCGTACAGGCCAAGGTCCCCCCACTGGTGGGCCCTGTGGCCCTGACCTTAACCTCTGCCAGCTGCCCCCCACCCAGCCTCAGTTTCCCCATATGGACCATCTCCTGGGTGTCTCAGCACAGGTGGGATCTCGGGGTGGTGGCTGGGATGGTGGTCAAGGCTGAAAGAGGACATGAGTCCCCACCCCTGCTGGCCTGGCTGTACCTGTGGCTGTGTTGTCTTGGGTTTGTTATATATGTTTTAATGCTCACCGAGGAAATGCTTATTGATTTTAGAGAGTGGGAAAGGAAGGGAGAGAGGGAGAGAGACATCAGTGTAAGAGAGAAACATCGATTGGTTGCCTCTTGTACATCCCCTGATGGGGGATGGAACCCGCAACCTAGGCATGTGCCCTGCCTGGGAATTGAACCGATGACTTTCTGTTTAGGGGATGATGTTTCAACCAACGGAGCCACACCAGCTAGGGCTTATATTTTTTTTTGTTGAGAGATAATTCATATACCATGAAATTCACACTGTAAGTATGCGATTCAACGTTTTTTGTGTCTTTACAATGTTGTACAACTGTCAGTTATAGAAACAGAGAGGTCCCTTCTCTGTTGGGTGAGATTGACCCCTGACCCCTCCCCGAGGCCTGCCTTTCTCAAGTGACCCCCTTTGTTTCCCTCTCCCCGTTTCTGAGCCACACCCTTCCAGGCGGCCTGGTCCCCACAGGGTTCCAGCCCTGTCTGCACCCTGGTGACATCCACAGTCTTGTTTCCAGCTGGGGCTTCCCTGAGCTACAGACTTGGGGTCCAGCTGCCCCTGGGCTTCTCATGGGGGAGAGCCCACAGGGTCTCACAGTCAACACAGTCACAACGCACCTGACTGCTCCCCCAAACCTGCTCAGCCCATCCCCCACCTCAGCTGGCTGCTCCTTTTTTTTGTTAATTTCTCCAGTCAAAGTCCTTAGTCATTTCTGACTCCTTGCTGTACTTCACTCCGCCTCCAGTGAGCACAACCTGTCTGTCCTAACTTGAGATCGTTCCAGAATCCACCCATTTCTCCCTGCTCCTAAACCCCCAACTTCGTCTACCCCATTAACCATTAATGCCCACTTAGACCAGGCAGTCCTCTTGCCCAGCTGGGCCCCTGGGTCCTGCCCTCGCCACCCGTACCTCCACAGTCTGTCATCCCTGATGCCGCCACTAGAGGGCGTTTGTGCACACCTATGTCAGGGCCAAGACCGCCCTCTGCCCACTGCCCTCCAGAGGTCCAGAGACCTCTCTTACTAATCTGCACCCTAGTTGTTCTTCTGGCACTCACCCTACTGTCCAGGCCCTTCTGTGTCTCCCCACCCTCTTGAGGGCAGGGGCCAGGTCTGTTCTGGTCTTCACTTGCTTCCCCACAGGTTGACGCCCAGTGCATGAGTTTCTTGTTGCAGCTGAAACAAATCACTGCATACTTGGCTTAAAACCACACCCGTTTATTCTCTGATAGTTCTGGGGCCAGGAGTCCAACAGGGGTCTCACTGGGCTAAACCCAGGTGTGGGCAGGGCTGGTCCTTCCTACAGCTCCAGGGAGAACCGTTTCCACCCTTTTCCAGCCTTTAGAGGCGCGGCATCCCGGGTTTGTGGCCCCTTCCTCCGTCTTCACAGCCAGCAGTGCAGCCTCTCCATCTCTGACTCTGACCCTCCTGCCTCCCGCTTATGAGGACCCTGTGAGGACACTGGCCTCCCTGGGGAATCTAAGATCATCCCCATCCTAGGGCCCTTAACTCAGTTCCGCCTGCAAAGCCCATTCTAAGATCAGGACATGGACACCTTTTGGAGGGAGGGAGCAAATCTGCTGACCACCCTCATTGAACAGATAATCCTCAGCAGAAGCCACTTCCCCAGTGAGGACACTGGGGCTCAGAGTGGTCAGTCGTGGCCCTGAGGCCTCCCCTCTGGGAGCCAGTGTTGAGGGGATGGTCCTGAAGGAGGAAAATCACCCTCCGTCTCACCATGAGCTTCCTTATGCCAGGAAGCTCTCCTGGGAGCTATAGTGAAAGGAACCAAGTCCTTGGCTGGTTTTCCAGAGCGGGCACCCCTGACAGAGCTAGCGGAGCTGGCACCATCGCTCCGGCCTGGGGCCCCAGCCACTGCCTGCTGACCACAGCTCCCCAGGGCCCCGGGCCCTCCCCATAACACCACCCTGACCATGACCCTCTGGGTTACCTGATTTCTTCATGACCCAAGTATGTCCTGGTTAAGCCCTGCTCCTACTAGCAGAGGAAGATGGCACTTTGTTAATTCAAAGTCACTTTAGGAAAATGGCGGGTCAGACTTGGGGGGTGGTCTCTCCCTGCTGCTCCCACCTGGAGGGGTGCCAGCACCCAGTCCTCCTGCCATCTCAGCCTGTCCTGTCTGCATGCTCCCACTTCCCACGATGGATTCTTGTGACCCTCCCTAGGGACACAGGGTACCCAGTTAGGCTGTAGGTGCCTTTGTGTGTGGGAGGGAGCATGGTGACAGCACCCCGAGCCCCTTGGAGCCCCTGGCATGGGCCGGGGTAGGTTGGTGGGCTGGGCGCTGTGGTTTACACTCCTTGCTGCCAATCTGAAGTCTCCCTTCTCTTTCTCAGGTCTGACCCAGAAAAAGATGGCCCTGACTGAGGTGAGTGTCCCCTGGGCCCTACCCTGACCTGCCTCCTCCAGCGGACAAACGAGGAAGCACCCAGCCCTGCTTGGGTCCTGCTCTGTGGCCTTGGGCAACTCACTGCACTTCTCTGGGTCCCAAATGGTGGCAATTGTAGGATGGGTGAAAATCCTGTTCCTTCCCCCCCCCCCCCGCCAGCACCTGGAGTCTCAGGGAGGGGTGCAGGGGGGGGAGGGAAGAGGCCCAAGGACCCAGCCCTGGGCAGTGAGGGAGATGTGGTGGGAAGCTGGGCAAGTGCAGTCCCTGAGGAGGCGGGTCTTGCCAGGAGGGTGGTGCCTGCGCAGTGCCCAACGGGCAGCACCTTCAGGGTGGTGCCCTAGGCAACCCACCTAGGAGCCCCGGGTCCCTTTCGCTCTCCACACCTGCGAGCCCGGTGTCTTTACCATCTTCCAGCCATGTTCCTAGAGAGCCTTCCCTGGTGATGGTCACTGTCATGCATACACGCCACCATGCTGCCCTCTGGGCCCCTGCTGCTTATCCTCAGCTAGGGTGACGCATGTGGGGTCACAACCGTCCCTGCTTAGAGTTTCCCATCACTCCTGAAGGTGACCTGTGAAGGGTGTGTCTGAGCCTCGTTTTAGAGGAGGAGCAGCCCGGGTGGTAGCAGGAGCCCCACCTGGACGTCCTGTGTCCCCTTGGAGCCAGGTCTCCTATCCCAGAATGCCACCTGCCATGTGGGTCCTTCTAAGGAGGGCTTTGTCCACCTCTGGGGCCCTGTGGGGCGCTCAGGCCGCAGGGCAGTGGGAGGGAGGTGGGTGGGCCCAGGCACTCCAAGAGCAACAGGAAGCCAATGAAGGGTGTGGAGAAAGGGCAGAAACAAAAGGTTCCTGAGGGGGCCCTGCCCCCTGGTGGCCAATGTGCAGAATACACAGGAGCCAAGCTGAGGAGCGATGGCAGATGGGGGCCATTTAAGGGCTGCCTGGGAACCTATGTGGGGGCAGTGCAGGTTGGGCTGGTGGCCAGAAGGGCTGTGTGGGATTTTTGAATGGTGGCAGATACACAGTGGGTACTTCTTAAATGTCAGTGATGGGTTGGAGCCACCAGAGGGGCGCTCCGTTCCTGTCTGCTGGCTGGCTTTGGCCGTCAATTCTCAGCTGGTTTCTGTGTCCCTCCAGGTTCTCGTGGCCTCTCCTACCATTCTCCTCTTGGGACGTCAGACATGAAGGCCAGTGGCTTCCACACAAGTTTGTGGAAATGGCTCATGTCACAGCTGCCACAGCTGTCCCCTAGAGCTTGTAGGAGATGGGCCTGCTCCCAGGCCACTGGGACCTGGGAGGGGATGTTGTTTGTAATCATTTCAGCCCAGAGGGCTATTCTGCTCCCAGGGAACACTGGGAGATGTCTGGGCACATCTGTGCTTGTCACACTGCGGTTGCTTTTGGCATTGAGTGGGTTGGGGCCAGGGATGCTGCCCCACAGTACCCAGGAAGGCCTCCCACAGGGAACAGCCTGGCTCCAGTGTCAGCAGCACTGAAGCGAAGACCCTAAAATAGGGCTGGGGGGTTGGGGCAGCTGGCTTCCAGCTTTCTCGAGGAGTTGGGGTTTCTAGTCCGGGTGTGGGCCCTTTCGGGTGTTAGGTGTTGTCCACCGGATATGCAGTCTGCCCACACAACTTTCTGTCCCCTGCACTCCCCACATGGCCGAGTCCTGGGCTCCAGCTGGGCACAGTGACTAAGCTCCTCTCTTGCCAGGATTTCTAGAGTATTATGGCCTCGGTGGCTCCTCCTTGCTGACTTTTATGCTTCCTGTTTTCTCCTCTCTAGGCCCCAATGATGACCGGACAGCCAGGCCCTGGTCATGGGAGGAAGCTGGGCCATCGGGGCGTGGATGCGTCTGGCGAAACCACTTACAAAAAGGTTTTTCCTATGACCTTAGCTGGCTGGGACAGAGTAAAGGGGGCTTTCCGCAGTTCTGGGGACCCATCGGGCACGCACACGCGCGCGTGTGTACACACACATACACACACATTCTCTTTTTCTCTCTCTCTCTCTCCCTCCCCTCACTGGAGGTCGGGTATGGGCTTGTCTGTGCAGGACCCTCGGGCCTGGCCAGGTCCCTGCTGCATGTCGTCACCTCGGGCAGCCTAGTGATGTGCCCTGAGGCTCCATAGGCTGCACGGCCTGCCTGGCTCCAGGAATCCACTGTGATCTTGGATGAGCCCTCAGTTCCCAGCCCTGCTGGCTCATCTAAAGATAGAGGGAATTACAGCTCCCGCTTCTTTCTCGGAAAGCCGGGCCGAGATGAGAGATGAGGTGGTGAGAGGAGCGCTGAGCCAGGCCCGGGCGGGGGAGTGTACAGGAAGCCTGAGCCCCACCGCCGTTAGCCCTACCTTTTTCAGCTTCCTGATGCACCAGCTTGACAGAGAGAGTATACACACCGTGTTGTTTCCCCCTTTTGACGTGTACCATCAGGTGGTTTCCAGAGTATTCATAGAGTTGTGCAGCCATCACCACAGTCACTTTAGACTATTTCTATCTCCCCAGAAAGATACCCCACCCCCACTAGCCGCCACCCCCTGTCTGCCTCCCCAGCCCCTGGCAAACCTGAACCTACCTTCTTTCTCTGTGGGTTTGCTGGTTCTAGACATTTCACGTAAGTGGAATCACACACTTTGGGGCCTTTTGTGTCTGGCTTCTCTCACTGAGCACCATGTGTTCAAGGTCCATCTATGATGTAGCAAGTGTCAGAGCTTCACTCCTTTTCATGGCTGAGTGATATTCCAGTCTGTGGGTGAGTGGACAGTTGGGTTGTTTTCACTTTGGGGCTGTTATGAATCATGCTGCTGTGAAAATTTGTGTGCAGGCTTTTGTAGACATGCTTTTATCTCTTTGGGGTACATACCTAGCAGTGGAGTTGCTGGGTCACATGGAAACGCTATGTATAACCGTTTGAGGAACTGCCAGACTGTTTCCCACAGCAGCTGTGCCCTTTTCCAGCCCCACCCGCTGCGCACGGGTATTCCAGTTTCTCGCAGCCCTCACCAGCACTTGTCTTTTTGATCACACCCACCCGAGCACGTGTGAAGTGGTGCCCTGCTGTGGTTTTGATTTGCGTTTTCCCGATGGCTAACGGTGGTGGGCACCCTCTCCTGTGCTGGTGGGCCATTTGTGTATCTCCCCGGGAGAACTGCGCGCTCCGTGGATGGCGTCTAGAAGGGGTTGAGTGTGGAGGGCAGGAAAGGCCCTCCTGGTGAGGGGATTCGGGAGAAAAGGCAACTGGCGGCTGTGAGGCCCTCACACGGGAGCGTGGGCTTGCTCAGGGGCTTGCCCTCCTGCTGCCTGCCCCCGCGGTGGGGATGCCAGGGCTCAGGGTCAGAGACTGACGGTTGAGGTGTCTTTCCACAGTGAGGCACGTGCTGCTTAGAGCTCACAGTGACCACGTAAACCACAGTGATGAGGAAAGTGCAAACAGCAAATACTTCTCAGGCATGGGCAGCCTTTGGTCCGGACCACTAACATGAGCTAACACACTGTCATCTCTGTTCCTGGATACTGGTGGGGAAACTGAGGCACAGAAAGGCAATGTTGTTCTCTGGTCATGATAATGTGAATCACCTAGAAAGTGGGTAGAAGGAACCCAGGTCTATGGAAATGAAGTTCAAGTGTCACTCTTGTGCCTCCCCCCCGCCCCCCCCCCAAATCCTGATGGTGGATAGACTCCTGTTGCATCAGGGCAGTTTTGAGACGTTGGAATGTTCTAGAACCTTGATTGAAAATTGGTATTGGGGTCACATAAGGTGGTGTTGGACTCTCGGACAAGCTGCTTCTTTGCTGTGTGGTTGTGCAGGTCAGGTGACCTACCTGAGGCCTGAAAATCTGTGATACATGCTAGTAGGCATCTTGGAGCCCAGGGTTGGGGTAGGGGCTGGCCCACAGGTAGGTCTTGATGTGGCTGCATTTCCCCACAGACCACGTCTTCCACCCTGAAAGGGGCCATCCAGCTGGGCATTGGCTACACTGTGGGCAACCTGAGCTCCAAGCCAGAGCGGGATGTGCTCATGCAGGACTTCTACGTTGTGGAGAGCATCTTCTTTCCCAGGTAGGCCCGGCTCCCATGCCCCCAACAGACCACCTGACAGATACACTGTTGTCATACAAAACAGCCTTCTGTTGTCTGAGCTCCCTTCTCTGCTGTAAATAGCACAGGCCTTTATTGGTGTCTGCTTGACTTGAGGTTCTGATTCAGGGTCTGTTAGGATATTAGTTTGCTGCTGAGTTAAAGAGAGCCAATGTAATAGTGGTTTTTTAAAAAATGGGGGGGAATAGAAATTTATTTTTCTCTCTCTATTTCTCACACACACAGAAAAACTGGTAGGCAATCCTGGGCTGGTCATGTGGGTCCTAGGTTCCTTCTGGTTGCTCTGCCATCTTCAATATGCAGCTTTTCTAACCAGCAGTCCCAAGTGGCAGCCCAGGCTCCTGCCATCACATCTGCATTTCAGTAGCAGGAAGGAGAGGGGAAGGGGAGAACATTCTCCTTTCCTTTAGGGTATGACCAGGAAATGACACACATTGTTTCTGTCCCACTCACAGTTCACTGGTCAAGTACAATCACTTGACCACATCTAGCTGCAAGAGAGGCTGGGCAGAGGTCTTATTCCAGGTGGTCATGTGCTCAGCCAACGTTGTGGACTCTGTTGCCAATGAAGGAAAAGAGAGTGGATACTGGGAGCCACAGCCTTTGGTCCCATTTGGAATCTCAAGTTGCCTTTCATATCGGCCACTTAGGGAAGGTTGTAGAGCTCAGCAGCTGGAGGCATCATCCCTTACAGGCTTTCCTCCCTCCTTCCTCCACAGTGAAGGCAGCAACCTCACTCCTGCCCACCACTTCCAGGACTTCAGGTTCAAGACCTATGCACCTGTCGCCTTCCGCTACTTCCGGGAGCTCTTTGGGATCCGGCCAGACGATTACTTGGTAAGTGTGTTAGTCAGCTGTTGCTTTGTAACAAGTTAGCACAGACTCAGCTCAAACACCACTTGGCTGTAACCTCACAGTTTCTGTGGATCAAGAATTGGGTGCAGCCCTGACTGGCTCAGTTGGTTGGGTGTCATCCCACAATGCGAAAGGTCACCAGTTTGATTCCCAGTGAGGGCACATGCGTGGGTTGTATGTTCAGTCCTGGTCAGGGTGTGTATAAGAGGCAACCAGTTGGTGTTTCTCTCCCTCCCCTTCCCTTTCTTTAAAAATAAATAAATAAATAAATAAATAAATAAATAAAATCTTTTTTAAAAAATTTAAGAAGAATTGGGTACAGCTTAGCCAGGTTCTTTGCTCAGGGTTGTAACCTAGAGGTGGGCAGTAGCTGGGGTCTCACGTTAGGCTAGACTGGGGAAGGGTCCAAATCCAAGCTCATGTTGTCATCGGCGGGACCAGTTCCATGCTGGCTATAGGTTGGGGCCTCCTTTCCTTCCACACGGGAGGGAGGGAGAGAGCCTGCCAGCAAAGCAGATGTTACTGTCTCCTGTGAGCTCATCACAGATGGGACCTGCCCAACCCACTCACCACCCCTTTCTAGTACTCGCTGTGCAACGAGCCATTGATCGAGCTCTCCAACCCCGGTGCCAGTGGCTCCCTCTTCTACGTCACCAGCGATGATGAGTTTATCATCAAGACTGTGATGCACAAGGAGGCAGAGTTCCTGCAGAAGCTGCTGCCTGGCTACTACATGGTAGGGGTCATGGGTTCCTGGAAGGTTCCAGAGGCAGGGGGCAGTATTCTGGGCTTTCCTCCGGTGCCTGTCTGCCTCCCCCATCCTCCTGCCCCTCTTCCTCCTGACACATCAGCAATTCCGCTCTGCTCCTCTGCACAGACATATAGGAGCAAAGGCTTCAAGGCCCTGGAAGACAAGTCCCCCAGATTCCCAGGGCACCACCCACCCTCTAGGTGGCCATGAGAAGTCTTCCTGTGGTCATGGGGTCTCCCGCTCACTGTCCTCTCCAGGAGGTCCCCCCACACTGTGGGCAGGAATTGCTGTTTAGGCCCTGGCTCCCCACATTCCATCGCACTGACACCCCTGAGTCGTGGGTCCAGAAACTGTGGCTCATGGGCTGAATGTCTCAGCATTTGGTGACTCAAGGGGCACAGGAGAAGAGGGACCAGGCCACCAGCTGGCACCTCACAAAGGACCGGCCACTCGGGCGCCCGCATTCTGGTGTGACTCAGGTCCCAAAAGGGGCCTGGGCAGAGGTGGGAGCAGGGGTCTTTACACTCAAGTGGGCTCCTGAGTGCCATCTACCTCGCTGGGCCCGACCTGGTGGGCGTGGGGACAGGCGCTCTGGGAACTCTGCCCACGTCGTGGCCGCCTCCCCTTAGGGCATCCCTCATCCACTGTTTGTGGTCTTGGTAGGACTCCTGGCTCTCCTAGATCAGGGATCAACAAACTTTCTCTATGGAGCCAGACAGCTTTGTGAGTCAACAGTCTGTCTCCACAGCTCAGCTCTGCCATTGTAGCAAGAACACCGCCATAGACAGCGCCTGAGAGGTCAGGCAGGCCAAGTGCCAATAAAATTACTTATGGACACTGAAATGTACATTTTATGAAATTTTCACATGTCACAAATGCACTTTTTCTTGTTTTTGTTTTTTTTCCAACTCTTCACCAATATAAAACCATTCTGAGTATGAGAACAAGCAGCTGGATGGAGTTGGTGCTCGGGCTGGAGTTTGCTAACCCCTGCCCTGGACGTGCCTGGGGGCCCTGTCCATCACACCCCCCCAGGGCGGGCCGGGGAAGTGGGACACCTGGTCTGACCCTGTGGGAAGTTGGGCCCAGACACCTTGGGAGTGTCCCATGAGGTTCTTTATCGAAAGGCCATGACTCTGGGCCTGGTTTTGTAGAAACAGACCCTCCTGGAGAGTTAGAATTAAACTGGCTGTTGTAAAGTGGGGTACTGGGGAGAGAGGCAGTCAGGGGGCCTTCCTGAGGAGGTGGCCTCTGGCCTGAGATCTGAGTGGCTATGTGCAAGGCTGGGGGTGTGGGAGTGGCTCTCGGGCACAGCATGGCACCCTGGCTGCTGTCCACTGACCCTCTCCCTGCACCTCCCAGAACCTCAACCAGAACCCACGGACGCTGCTGCCCAAGTTCTACGGACTGTACTGTGTGCAGTCGGGGGGCAAGAACATCCGTGTGGTGGTCATGAACAATATCCTGCCCCGCATGGTCAAGATGCACCTCAAGTTCGACCTCAAGGGCTCCACGTACAAGCGGCGGGCCAGCAAGAAGGAACGGGAAAAGAGCATCCCCACCTACAAGGACTTGGACTTCATCCAGGACATGCCAGAGGGGCTCCTGCTCGACGCTGACACCTTCTCTGCACTCGTCAAGACGCTGCAGCGGGACTGCCTGGTGAGCCTGTGGTGCCAACCCTGATTCCCCAGCCCCGCTGCACAGAAAGAGCTCAGGGCCAGACAGCCTCCCTTGCCTGGGCAAGTGCAGGAGGTTAAGGGTGGGGATTCTGGGGACAGCCCACGTAACCCTAAGCATGTTGCTCTCCTCTTTGAGCCTCAGTTTTCCCATCTGTGAATTGGGGACACTGGTGAAAGCTAGTGCAGCTAGAAGCCTGAGATATGCAGCCCAGTACCAGGTTCCCCCCTGCCCGCCTTGTCCCTGTGTCCTGAAGCAAGCTGTGCTCCTGCTGTAGAGCCCAAACCTGCAGAAGCAGCCCAGCATTCGCATAGCCCTTAACCTAAAGGGTGCCTCAGAGTCAGAGCTGCCCCACCACACAGCACGCACTGCTCCATGCTGCCATCTTCCCCGGTTAGGTGCTTTGTAGGGATAAAGAATGCTTCACCAGCCCTGGATGTTGTGGCTCAGTGGATTGAGTGCCGTCCTGTGAACCAGGGGGTTGCTGGTTTGATTCCCAGTCAGGGCACATGCCTGGGTTGTGGGCCAGGTCCCCAGTAGAGCACATGCAAGAGGCAACCACACATTGATGTATCTCTCTTTCCTTCCCTTGCCCTCTCTCTAAAAATAAATAAATAAAATCTTTAAAAAAAGAAATGCTTCACCAGCCTTCACACGCCCTTACAATCTCTGTGTGCCCCCTGCAGCCTGGAAGGTCAGGCCACCCACCTCTCTAGCGATGAGGAAACAGGTCTGCAAGGGGTGTCCCTGCACTAGGTCCCTAGCCTGTCATCAGGGGCTGGTCCGGGTCCTCTGCTCTGTGTCTTAGGCCCCTAAGCCCACTGCCCCCAGCTCACAGACTCTTTGGAAAACTTGACACAGTGTCCCCATAAAACTACTTCAGTGTCTTAGGGCCTTTTGCTTCAGGAAGCTCATCCCCGGAGACCACGTGGTCTTGGGCCTAGGCTCCACCATGGGGCCTGGAGTGGGTGTCATATCCACAGCACCCAGGTTCCTCAGCTGGAGCCAGGGAAGTAGGAGTGCAGACCTGCTCTGTCTTGGGGGAGGAAACTTCCTATCCTGGCCCCGAGGGGCAGCTTGGCCTCAAGTGACACACCACACCCTGGGCCACCCTACAGGGGCTAGTCCCAGTTGTGCCCCATCTATCTGCTGCACAGCCTGGCCTTTTGTCCCTTGGTCTCCTCACCTGTGAAATGGGGATAGTGACAGGGTCTCCCTGTGTGGCTGCGGGAACTGAGTGGACGTAGATGCAGAGCCTGCAGCCTCGGGTCACCACCAGGCTTAAGGGCGTTTGTCTTCCTGACCCTCTCCCCTACACACACCCGGCAGGTGCTGGAGAGCTTCAAGATCATGGACTACAGCCTGCTCCTGGGCGTGCACAACATCGACCAGCAGGAGCGGGAGCGGCAGGCCGAGGGTGCCCAGAGCACGGCGGATGAGAAGCGGCCGCTGGGCCAGAAGGCACTTTACTCCACAGCCATGGAATCCATCCAGGGCGGGGCTGCGTGTGGGGAGGCCATTGAGACGGATGACACGTAGGTGGTGGGCCTGGTGGGGTTGCCGGGGCTTCTAGCCCTTTCTCTGCCCCCAGCCTCTTGCCAGGTGTGAACATGGGCAGGGGGAGTTGGCACGGAAGGCAAGCAGTGACAAAGCAGATGAGGCCAGAAGCCTGTGTGTGGCCAATCTGGGTTGTCACAGAGACAGCAGCATCTGCCCACCAGACCTCATGAAGGTCACAGGGATGATGCACAGCCATGGCAGAGTAATCAGTCAGTGGATTGAGGCCATTGGCCACCCATATGGGAAACAAAGGTCCCCTCCCTCCTGCTAGACTCCACTGTATGAAGCACAACTAAACCAGCATTGAAAGGTGGCCCAGGAGATAGCGACGGCTGGGATGAGGCAGCCCTTCTCTAGCAAGCTGCCTAACCCTGAACCCACCGCGGGGTGGCATCGGGATCGCGGCTTCCTCCAAGACAAAAGGTGGCCATGCCACAGGACGAGGGCACAGAGAGGAGCATTTCCCCTGACTGCACTCGCTTAGCCTTAGCCTCCCAGCCTGGTCCCGCCCTGGGGGCTTAGGGATTTGTCAGGGAGACAGACTTATGGTGTGTACCCCTCCCTTGGCGCTGGGAACACTAGGGCCTTATTCTTGGCGGGGAGGGGGGGGCTGTCCTGGGCACTGTGAGGTGTGAGCAGCATCCCTGGCCCCTAGCCACTTGATGCCATGAGCACCCCCAGTTGTGTCAACCACAGATGTCCCCAGACATGCTCCAGTGTCCCTTAGAGGCAGAGCCATCCTGGGTGAGAACTGCTACTGTAGATGTGTCAGGATTGCCCCTCATCACCATGTACTGACCATGCCGAGAACCAGCTGGACTCTCTACTGTTACCCTGTTTTGTCCTACGGGGGCCCTGGAGGAGTAGGGTGTCACAGCCCTACTTTGATCCAGGAAAAGAGAGGCTCAGGTGGACACAGCTGTCCTGTGTGCACAGCCAACTGCTGGTGGGGCCGATGCTTGCCCCCGGCCCGGCCACTACACTGGGCCACCAGATGCGGAAGGCAGAGGAGGAACCAGGCTCGGGGCTATGACTGGAGCAACATGGGAGGGAGCGGCATGTGCAAAGGCCCTGTGTAGCTGGCCCTGACGCAGACTGTCCTGGCGTATTTGTAGGATCTGCACAGGGCCTGGCAGGGGATGGCAGGGTGTGCAGGTGAGCTCAGCAGTGCATGGAGTGCAGTGAGCAGAGCCTGGGGTGGCAGATTTGGGGTCATAGTGGCTTCGGGACAGCTGCTGCATCATGTAACCTCATTAACCAGCTGGGCTAGGCATGTTCAGGCCTGGGGCTGCGTGAGGTAATTAACTCCCCAGATTGTACCCAAGAGCCCTCACAGCCCTGCCTGGGAGTATGTGTGTGCATATGTATGCATGTGTGTGCAAGTGTGTGAGTGTGTACTGTGAGTGTACCGGTGTGTGCACAATTATGTGTGTGTGCCTATCTGTGCAAGTTGCACAAGTGCATGCAAGTGTGACATGTGTGCGTGCCTCCATATATGTGCACGCGTACGTGTGTACGCCTGGGCCCCATAGCTGTGACCCCTCGGCACCCGTGGGCCTCCCGCATTGAATCTGTGAGCTAGCTGGGAATGCTGCTCCATCCCTTGCCAAAAATGGGGTCCCCTGTGCTCGGACCCACTTTGAAGGTCCAGCCAAGTGGTCACCTACAGGGGGCATGTGGATTCTTGAGCCCAAGGTTCCTTCAGTCTTGCCTGCTCCTCTCTCCCTCCATCCTTGTCTCCCCCCAGGTCCCAGACCAGGATCGGGGCCCTCGCGGGCTGGGGCAGTCCCCAGCTCCCTGCCTGGCTGTGTGGGTGATGACACTCTGGGCTCTTCTCTCTCCAGGATGGGTGGGATCCCTGCAGTGAATGGCCGCGGGGAGCGTCTGCTCCTGCACATTGGGATCATCGACATCCTGCAGTCCTACAGGTGGGTGCCTCGCCCCTGCAGACGCGCTTGCTCAGGGAAGCTGGACGCTGTCTGCCAACAGGTGCCTCTTAGCCTTCAGGAAGGCTCCTGCCTGGCTGCCCTCCCCAGCCCTCCGGGGAGGCATTCAGTCCCCACCCCAGAGATTCCACCCCTGGAACCTAGATTTGTCCTTGGGGGTCAGTGATGTTGGAGACGGAGCAAGGCCAGCACAAGGCATGGGGGTGAGTGGGGTGTTGCCAGCCGAACTTCCACGCAGCCCTGTCTGTCGAGCACATAGTGTGTCAAGCTCTGGGGTAATGAGAGCAAGACAGAAATGCCCCATAGCTGTGACGAGTGACGTGTCTGGAAAGTTCCTACAACATGAAGAAGTACATGCGGCTGGTGCCACGTGCCATGTGGTTTTGTGCGTGGACATGAATGTGGCAGACCCTGAAGGAACAGACACCCAACCTTTACTTGGAGCTTAAAGTGGGGGTGAGAGGCAACCCCATTATTCGTGCCTTGTTCTCTGTGAGCTTTCTGCAGTGGACATATTAAAATTGGCATTATATTTTTATTGTAAGAACAACATATGTTGGTTATACAATATCCAAACGCGACAGGTTGTCAATGTGGCAGTCCATGTTTCCTGTCCACACCCCTACACCACTGCAGAAACCCGCTTGGCATTGGGCGATGTCTTCTTTGTGTGTTCCTCCTTTTTAAATACAGCAGATTCTCGAACAACATCATTTCGTTCCAATATGGTTGCATTATAACCTGCTGAGATGCCTAGGAGCCTCTCGTTTATATCAGTTAACCTATGGTAAAGTGGGTTTTGTTGTACGTTGTTTTTGTTCAAGTCTCAGAACCCGTAAGTGTAGCCCTGTGTAAAAAAAAAGTCTGCTCCTGCCCATCAATTTTTCACATCGTTTTTTCCACACCGGAGGGCTGACCTGGTCCCTGCAGAGATCTCCCTCGGTTTGGAGCAGGGTTAGGCACCTTTCAAAGCAGCCAGCTCTGGTTTCTGCCTCTGCTCCAGGGTGAGGCTGAGTGAGTGGCAGTAAATGACAGCAGCAAGCAAGAGTGGGGGTAGGGGTGTCGTAAGGAGGTGTGTCCCCAAGAGGGGATTCTTCCCCCCCGACAGACTAGAGGAGTCTGGGAAGACAGCCTGAGGGAGATGACATATGTGGCAAGCTTCTGTCTGGGGGCCACGGCGCAAGGCACTGACGCTAGCAGAGAGCAGCCAGGCTCAGCCTCAGCCAGGAGGGGAGACGAAAGGCAGGCTCCAGGAGGCGCTAGCTGTCTGTCCTCCATGGAAAGCCAAACACCATGGCCTTTTCACTTCCTCCTCCGTGTCAGAGGTAGTGGGAGCTGCCAGCAGGCTGGCCGGGGGACGGGGGTGGACAGGAAAGAGGGTAGGTGGCCTCTGGCTGATGCAGCGGGCAGCCTCAGTTCCTCTAAACCAGGGCTTCTTCACCTGCTCAATTCCAGGGGCACCTGTAGTCCTGATGACCGCAAATGTCCCCAAACATTGTCCCCTGGGGGCAGGATTGGCCTGGTAGAGAACTCCTGGACCTGAAGATTTGGCTCACATTCTGGGTGCTTTTCCTCTGCAGGTTCATCAAGAAGCTGGAACATACCTGGAAGGCTCTTGTCCATGATGGGGTGAGCGTCCTTCATTCACTTACTCGTTCATTCATTCATTCCATCTCTCAGTTCACAAATGCAGTGGCCATCTCCTGGGGCCAGGCACAGTGCTAAAAAGAGCCAAGAGGCGCATCCCCCTTCCTGGAGTAGCTGTCCAGCGGAGGCAGCCCTGTGACCAGGGAGGCGGCTCTTTTGTGGTGTTATAAATCCACAGTGGACAGGAGAGACACCAAATCCTGACAAGGCAACCATAACCCCAAAATAGGATTTGTGTCAGCCCAAGGAGTCCCCAAATGTTGATCAAAGTAACCATCCAGCTGTGAGCAAAAGGGCCCAGGTTCCTTCTGTTTGTTGCTGCATACCCCCAGGCCCTGCCCTCAGCCCCTGGCCCAGGTCCCATGTCATACGCCAGCCAGAGGGAGGTGCTGAGGAGCAGCCAGGGGAGGGGGCTTGCCTTTCCCTCTAAGGGCCGAGAGACTCACTGTCTTGGCTAGCTCGCCCTCAGCCAGACATGGTCACATGGTGGCCACATTCAGCGCAGGGAGGATGGGAAATGTCGTTTTCATTGTAAGAGGCCTGGTGTCTAGACAGGTTCTGTTCTATTACTGCAGGGGAAGGATGCTGGACTGGGTGGGGCCCAGGGATACTGCTCAACACCCTACAGTGCCCAGGACGTCCCCAACCCCCAGAGAATGACCCAACCCCAGGGTCCCCAGTGCTGAGGGGGAGACTGTGCTATAGAAGGCAAGGAGACTGGATCCTGGGGAGCAATAAGGAATCTCTGCTTTAGGGGACCAACACTTATAAAGCACCAGCTGTGTGCTGGCCCCCTGCCTTGTGTAAATCCTGGTGGGCGTAGCCGCCTCCCATCTACCTTGTTGCTCACCTACGGAAACGACCTCTAAGAGGGGCAGTGCCCTGCCCGAGGTCACCCTGACAGCGTGGGGACAGCTGGGTCTGCCTGGCACTGAGAAACACCAGCTTTCATTTGTCACAGCTGATCGGCTCTGCCCTTGGAGCAGGCATGGCCATGTGCCAACCAAACTTTACCTATAAAACAGGGCCTGGGCCATGCTCTGCCAGCCCCTGCTTTAGAGAATCCTTCTGGTTCCCTTATTTTGATACTTACTTGTCTACTTCATTGAACAGTTATTTTATTCACATGGCTCAAAAACTGAAAATACAGATGGGGTCATAATGTAAAAATCTCCTGGCACTGTTGCCTGATCCCTGGGTCTCCTCCATGAAGCCCTGTGCTGTGACCCCATCTCCCCCTCCACAGAGAAAGTGCGCCCCACCCCCCACAGTGGTCTGTCCTGGGCTGCCCTGTGGGACGCAGGGAGCCGTAGTGCTCATGCCCCTGCGGGCCCACGGGCCTCTACATCTCTTCCCAGGACACCGTCTCCGTCCACCGTCCCAGTTTCTATGCCGAGCGTTTCTTCAAGTTCATGAGCAACACAGTTTTCCGGAAGAACTCCTGTGAGTTGCCCTGGCCTTTTGGGCGAGAGGGACCTGGGGTGTGGAGAGAGGAGGGTGGCAGCTGTCAGCGGGGCAAACTAGTGCACCTTGTTCTGTCACTTGGCCAGCCCCAGGCCTCAGTCAGGGGCTTGGTCCCAAGAACAGGGCGGTCCGGCAGCCCTGCCATGCAGGACAGCACAGGACCTGGTGCCCACGTCCAAATATGAGTCCTGGCTTTGTTTCATCCTGCCCGTGTGACGTCAAGCCAACAGAGGGCATGAGCCTCGGTTTCCCCATCTATACAGAGGCTGAGGGGGCAACATGCTCCACACAAGACAGGCGGGCCTGGCCTGGCTCCAGGACTGAGCAGGGCTGCCCACAGCCTTGCTCTGTTGCCAAGGACGTGTGACTTTGGTGAACCGAGATAGTCATTGGCCTAACCAGACATTGTCAGGGAGGGTGCAGGGTGAACGGTAGTGGCCCTTGCCCTGTGGGTGGTTTCAGGAGGTCACATGTGTGTACTGGCCTCAAGAGTCCCCAACTCTGGTGCATACTCCAGTCTGGGATTTCACGTGCCACTCGAAAGAGTCTTCTTCCCAACGTATCTATCTGTCTGTCGTTCCCCCACCCCAGCTCCCCTCCTCCAAATGCAAGGTACTTCTTGGCCTTCGTCACTATGTCCGCAGTGTCCAGCCTGAGGGCCTGTTACATAATAGGGACTCAGTAAGTGTCTGTGTGTGCCTTATTCCCCAGGCCTAGAACCCTGTGGGGCACTCTCCCACCCCGGCCCACGTCTGTGTGGGCCGCTAGCCAGCCCTGGTCACCTGGAGCTGGCTCACAGAGACAGGGCAGCTCCACATTCTGTGACATGCAGTCAATAGCTTGAAATCTAGTGGTGGGAACATTCACACCATGGAAATAGGCAAACCTCACAAAACCAGCTCTGTCTCCAGAGAGATGCTTGTTAACTTGACCAGCACACCACTTCCTGGAACCTTCTTAGGATGCTACCCCCACTGTAGTCCAGAGGACTTTGCTGGCCTCTGCAGGCTGGATGGCTGTGCACGGGAAAAACTGAGCATCTAGTGTGTGCCAGGAGCTGTGCTGGCCGCTGTGGGGGCAGAGGTCGCAGTAGGAGCAAGGAGAGGGTGGTGACAGGTGCTGACAGGCCAGGCCTGGTGCAGGGAGTGTTATGGGGTTCACATGCCTCACGTGACCTTGTTGTTTGTGGAGAAGAATGCTGGAGCCAAGAAAGGCTGAGCTATGTTCCCCAGGCCATACAGCCTGACTGGGAGCCAGGCCCTTGGCACTGAGTTCTGCATTCCCCAAGGCCTTCTATTTCCTTGTTTGACTGTTGGGCCCAGCTACAGTGGGCTGCAACAAAGCGGGTGGCGCCCCACAGCGCTCAACAAACATTGGGAGCTGCGGACTCAGCAAGTGCTTCCCGAGGACGCAGGGTGGGGGCGCTAGGTTCCACCTCTGTTGGCAGGCAGAGCCAGGTGGAAAGCGGGGTGGGTTTTCTCCGAGAGGAGCATTGCCTCTTGCCCAGGCTTGAGGAACAGGCCGGAGCTGGGGCAGCGAGGGCCATGTGCGCGGCCGGTGGGCCCCTTGGTGCCCACCACACTGTCATGCAAAGGAAGGACGGGGTCTGTGGGGCCCTGCCTTGTCTCCACCCCAAGCGTGCCAACCGCCCTTCCTCCCCAGCCCTGAAGTCGTCGCCATCCAAGAAGGGCCGTGGTGCCTTGTTGGCAGTCAAGCCCCTGGGGCCCACAGCTGCCTTCTCAGCCAGCCAAATCCCCAGTGAGCGGGAGGACGCGCAGTATGACCTGCGGGGAGCCCGCAGCTACCCCACATTGGAGGACGAAGGTGAGCAGGCAGCGGGAGTGGTACATTTGTGGGAGGAGGAACGAGGGACCTGCTGGGGACAGACAACGTCCCTGGGGGCTAGCGGTTGTGGGGCGCAAGGAGCAGTGTTACCAGTGTAGTGCGAAGAAGGGGATCTCTGAAGCTGGGCCCAGCCTGGACAGGAGGAACCGGGTCCCAGTCACCCCCTCTTTCATACCAGCATCTGCAGCCACCTGGGGAGAGAGGGGAAGCTGAGACTAGGCCCAGGAAGGGCTGCGGGGCAACCTGAGCACGGAAAGCACCACAGAGGGAGGAGACAGCCTCCTCTCATATCACTAGAGGTGCACAGAGGCCCCAAAGGATGAAGTGGTTGGCAGAGTTGGGCCTGATGCTCTGGACGTCCCTTTGAGCAACTAGGATCACGGATTCCAGGCAGGGAGTAGGGGGCGGGATGGAAAATAGCATCAAGGAAGAGAGAAACTGCGTATCTAAGGTCCTGCGGCAGGACTGTGCCTGGTGTGTTAAAGGAACAGCAAGTGGCCGTGTGGCTGGAGCGAGTGAGCGATGGGGAGAGAGGGAGGAGGTGAGGACAGGGAGGGGAGGGGGCAGGTAGGACAGGATTTCTGGGAGGCAGTCTGGATTTTAGTTTGAGAGTAGCAGGAAGCTACTGGAGTCCCTTGTGCTGGGGACAACAGAGTGTGGGTGACCAGTGACCCCTGCAGTAGAGCCTGGAGCCTGGGGGCCTGGGAGCCTGGCTGTCGCAGGCACCCACTACCTCCTCCCTGCAGGTCGGCCCGACCTCCTACCCTGCACTCCACCTTCTTTTGAGGAGGCCACCACGGCATCTATTGCCACGACCCTGTCTTCCACGTCCCTCTCCATCCCAGAGCGGTCCCCCTCAGAGACCTCAGAGCAGCCAAGGTACAGGTGAGCGAAGGGGGCATCTCCCTGAGGGGGGGCTTAGGGGTAGGGCTGCGTTCCCAAGAGGAGGGGCCAGGGCGGGGCCTTGGGGCGGGCAGGGAGGCCTCTCCAACACGTTCCGTCTCTTCCACCTGTTTCTGTTCTCTCGGAAGGCGGCGCACACAGTCCTCCGGACAGGATGGCCGGTAAGATGAGACCCCAGCCCGCTCCTATCCAGTCTTCTCTACAGGCCCCGCAGTCTACCCAGCTCCTCCGCGGCACAGCGTCCCCATCCCTCCCTTTCCTCCCTCGCCTTCCCTTCTGCACAGCTATCCCCTCTGCATTTCCACCCAGAGCCCCTCTTTCCTGGGGGTAGATTTATGGTGACGGTCAATCTTCAGGCCCTAGAACCACACAGACTCTCAAGTCATTTTGTGCTTCTCTTCCACCTGGGGGACCCCCCCTCCCCTGTACCTGTTGATCCTTTCTTTTCTTTTTTATTCTTAAGAGATACAAAAGGGAACATAGTGAGATGCCTGTCCCTGCCCCATGCCCAGTCGCTTCCCTGGGAGCACCCCCTGGATGGGACCTTTTGTCTCTGGAGATATTTGATGAATATACAAGCAAGCAAACACTTGGGCTTGTATTTAACCTTTTGTTTTGACACAACTATGGCTCTGTGCCCCCTGTCCCTTACTTTTTCACTTTCCAGATGAAGGTTGCCACTGTGAGCCTTTTTCTTTTAACAGGCCGTTTCTGCTCTTGGGGACGTTGTTTTCTGTTTGATCTTGTCACACGGCTGTAGTATAGAGGTTGCTTTTCAGAATTAGTTTCTGGTATGACAACTCCTGCCAGCTGAAAAGAAAGCCATGGTGCAAAGCACGTTTGGATAAAAGTATAGCTCCCTCTTCCAGCTGCCTGCTGGCTGCCAAAAGCGCTGACTGACCTACACCAGGGACCACACCTTCTGGGCCCCCAAAACCCCCCACCCCTAGTTCAGGCCCCAGGCGGGTGCCCTTCCACCCCAGGAATGGGGGCAGGATCTAGGTTGCCACTCACTCGTTACGCCCCTGCTGGTGCCGGAGTCCCAGGACCCATAGGTGCACAGTCAGTTGCCATCCCCTCAAAGCCCCCAGGTGGGTGTGGCAGCCAGAAGGACCAGGCCTGAGCTGGGCCAGCTTGGGGTGCTGGTCAGCTAGTGCCCAGTGACAGCACCTCAGCCCCCCATGGGACTGAAATTGGCACCTGCCCAGAGGAACTCAGCAGGAGCTCCTGGGAAGTGGAGGTGGGGCGAGGAGGGAAATGGAGCATGGCACCCTGTTGCCTCCAGGACCCAGGAGGAGGCACACATGGAGGAGGACCTGCAGCAGATCACGGTGCAGGTGGAGCCCACATGCAACGTGGAGATAGTGGTCCCCAAGGAGGAGGAAGAGGGGTGAGTGATCATCTGGTCCCTGCAGTCCATGCTTTCCAATTACCTGGTTCCTGTGCTCAACTTCTGCCCCATTCCGTTGGCCAAGCATGGTTATGTGACCCACTGGCAGCAAGACAAGCTGGGAATCGTAGTCCAGAATCCTGGAAACAGAGGCATGGGAATGGAGCTTCAGGCACAGGGGCCTTGGGGACTACCAATTCACTGGCAGAGGTGCAAATAGTGTGTCAGTCCAGGGATTGTACCTCATGGGTTCCTTTTCTCCTCTTTGCCCTCACTCTTGCCTGCACTTACAAGAGGATGACTGGCCAGTTTCTTCAAAGGACCACTTTTGAACTTTGTCACCCTTTTTCTTACCATGTTTTGTTCTTGTTTCATGTACTTCAACTCATCAGTTATTTCTTCCTTCTAACTTCTAGTTTGTTTTCTTACTTGTTCCTTTTTTGCCAGCATAGGTTGAATACTTAAGTTCCTTTTTTCTTTCTTCAATAAGAGGCACCTTTAAGGCTGTGAGTTTTCCTCTGAGTGCTGCTTTTGCTGTGGTCTATGTGTTTTAACAAGAAGCAGTTCCTTTTTATGCTGGCTCTTTATTGGATAGTTAATGATTTTCCTTCTACTGTCTTCTTTGATCCAAATCAGTGAGGCTTTCAACCATATGGGGGTGGTCCTGCATTCCAAGGGCACTGGCCATATCTGGGGACATCTGTGGTTGTCACAACTAGAGGTGCTTCTGGCATTGATTGGGTGGGGGCCAGAGATGCCACTCAACACCCCACAGTGCCCATGACAGCCCCAAAGAGAACGACCCAGCCCTGGTATCAACAATGCCCAAGGGGAGAGCACTGTTGGATTATTTAGAAGTTTCTCTCCACTTTTGAGAATCTAAGGATTTTTTTACCCTTTTCGTACTTACCTGTAATTTTACTAGGTTTTGAATTGAAGAAAGTGGCCTTAAAAAAAAATCTATGCTATTCTATTTTTTTTAATAGATTAAAGTCTTTATGGCCAAGTACATCAGTTTTTTAAGGGTTTTGGGGTTTTTTTAATGTCCATGAACATAGAGGATAAATGCGTATCTTCTGTCGGGGGATGGAAAGTTCTCTATAAATCTGTTCTGTCCAATGTATTGATTGCTATCATTCAGTTTCTTTATGTCCTTACTTTTAGTCTGCTTTGTCTATTTAATTCTATAATTTAGAATTTCTGTTCTATTTCAAGAGACCTTACTTAGCACTTACAGCATTTCCAGGCTGCACTTCCCCATTAATTATTTATTGTACACACATGCGGCCACACACGTTTCTGCCACTGTGCCTTTTTGCTGTTAACTGAAGTCTCGCATTGTAAGGTATCATTCAGTCTTTGCCCAGAAAAACAACCTGACCTGAAACATGACTGAAGAACAACTTCTCCACAGTTAGGGCTTGTCATCTTTTTCGTGAGATGAAAGTTATGCAGCCGTCAGCCAAGGCCTGGCCGTGACCCTCGCCATCTCTCTGTCTCAGTCTCCACACGAGACAGCAGCACCCCTCCCCAAGGGATATTCAGTGGATTCATTCACACAAGACCCTTGAGCAGGCCTGGCACGTAGTAAGTGCTCAGTTCTATGCATTCCCACTTTACAGAGGAGGAACAGAGAGGCTCAGAGAAGGGAAGTGAGGCTTCAGGGTTGCACAGTGAGTGAGTGGCAAGGCCAGGACAGTGCATGGCCTAAGCTGGGGAAGGGGTCCAGGTGGGCCATTTATCACCTGGGCCGCCACAGAATTGGGGGTGTTTAGTTTTATTTGGCTTCCTGAGACTTTGTCTCCAGAGGGACACACTGACGAGGGAGGAGGGGGCAGAGGGGTGGGAGGGCATGGGCTAGCAAAGGATGGTGCTGCTGAGAGCCCAGCGCCAGGACTCCCCCGTCCTCCCTGTCCCCAGGGTGGAAGCTTCCCCCGCCTGTGCCTCTGCTGCTGCTGTCGAAGTAGAAACCGCCAGCCAGGCCTCAGAGCCCGCCAGCCAGGCCTCAGATGAGGAGGATGCTCCCGCCACTGACATCTACTTTGTAAGTTCTCCAGGGGCTCTCTCCCGTCACTGGACCCTCGCCCCAGCAGGCGCTCATGCGCACACAGGCACGGACATGCCCGCACACGTTGACATGTACCACATACATCACAGCCACATACACGTGCATGTGCTCACATGGACACACTCCCATATTTACACACATTTGTACTAACACATGGACATGTGCACACATACTCGAGAGGCATGTGTGCACACACCTGCACATGCTCTTGCACGCCCACCGGCATACTCTCAATGTGCTCTTGCATATTCACAGACACACACATGGTATGCTCTTGATCACATGCACGCGCACATGGTATGTGAGTGTTCTGCCTGGCATCACCCAGGCCAGGCCATTCCAAGGCCAGGAATCGGCCTTGGACCCTCCTCCCCAGACCTTGTGACCACTGCCTGGTACGAGACAGGGCCCCAGCCGTGCCAGCCTGTGCCCCTTGGAATCATCTGAATCCTCATGCTCTCAGCCCCCACAGGCCCCGGGGTCCTCCTTGGTCTGTGCCGAGCTGGCTGAGGTGGACTGGAAATGCTATGCATCTTCTTCCACTGGGTGGGGGGTGCAGCTGGGTGGGCGCCACCCGTAACGGGGAAAGGGAATTGTGGCAAGGCACAGATCGTCCTCATGCTGTCGACTTTACTGGCCAAGGACACGTGGCTGCTCCTGGACAAGGCGGGTTTGTCAGAACAAGGAGGGGCCCTGGCCTGGGGACCGGGGCCTCCCTCCCAAAGCTGGGGGTCGCCTTCCCCCCTGTGCGTCTCCTGCAGGCAGACAGATTAGATGAGCCAGGAGTCTGGTGAGGTAGGTGTTGGGTGGCCAAGGAACCCGCAAAGTTGAGTCCGCTGGCCCCCGACACTGGATCAGAGGCCAGATGGCCCCAGTTGCAACGGGGAAGTCCAGACACTGCAGCCCAGCTGTCTGCCCTCTTCCTAGACCTTCATTTTCATCCCCGCCAGGGGAAGGTGAGCTCGAGCTGCTCACTGCCTTGGTCCTGGCGTCTGGCCTCCAAACCTCCAGGCCTTTGACAGTGCGGGTGAGCCTGGCCCTGTGCTGCTGCCGCTGCTTCATAATGACCCCCACCCTGCTGTCCCAATCCAGTGCTTCTGAGTCACGGGGCTCCTGCCAGGAACAGTAGCAGGCACTCTGTGTGTGTGTCCTCTGTACCTGCCATCCTCCCGCCATCCATGGGAGCTTGATTTATGTCCTGTTCTTGCAAATCGTGTGCGAGGTGGCCAGGCTGTGTCCTATGAGTGGGTGGCTGGGCCACGAGGGCCACAGAGAAGGTTAAGGCCACAGAGTGACCCTGACGCCCCCAGACCCTCCTACTGCTTTGCCATCGGCTCACCTGCCCCCTCCCAGCACCCTCCCCACCTGACCTTCCTGACCTCAGCGGGATTCCGCGTTCCTGTCCCCTCATCCTGTCCTCTCTTTGCCTCCTCCGCCCGCCCGGCCCACCCAGTTCACGGATGGGAGGTACTGGATTTACTCTCCCCGGCACCACCGACTGCGGGCCATGACGCTGAGCTCCTCGGGGACTGTAAGTGACCACAGCAGGCCTCCAGGAAGCCCAGTCCCTGTCCCGCTGCCCAGGGCAGCCAGGAGCCCTAGGGCCTAACCGCCCCTCTTCCTCTGAGAAGGGACCTGGGGAAAATAATCACGACAACTGTGCAGGGTGTCCTGCTGTGTGTGTCCTGCAGGAATGTCATTTAATCCCCTATGAGGCAGGTGAGCGTCTGCGGCCAGCAGGCAGACGGCCAGTACTCAGTGGGCCTGGTTGGGGTGGAGACTACATTTGACTCCCAGCCCCAAGCCGCCTCTGACCCTTCCCAGCCTTTCTAATGGCGGGACAAGTCAGGTGGACACTTCTCATTTGTTCAGACCTTGCTGCTGACAGCTCCCCAAGGCACATCTGCTCCTTTGATGGGAGTAGTTACATAGGTCAGTGAGGGACTGCAGAGCCGGGCTCTTAGCTGCAGGAGAGAGGAGTTGTTATCTTCATACCCATTTCACAGATGGAGAAACTGAGGCCTCAGCTCCATAGGGAACCCATGAGAGCACACAGGTGGGACAAAATCTGAGTCCAGCCTCCCAAGCAGCCCCTGTGTGTAGTAGACACTCATCCATCCAGTGAGCTTAGGACACTACATGGATGTCATGTGGCAGTGGCCTTATCAGTCCTGTTATTGTCATTATGAGCAATAAATGAAGAGCCCAGAGAGGCCAAGTAACCTGCCCAGAGCTACACAGTGCAAACTGGTGGAACAGGGTGAAAAACTGGAGCAAGAGTTTCTATTCTCGAGAAGAAGCCCCTCAGAGGCTCACACCCTGGCCCCAGCAGCAAGGCCCTCTTCCCACTGCTGCATGTCGAGACCACTTTCCTAGTCCCACTGCCACACTCTGTCTTCCCAAGATGGCAAGGCCACCCCCCCATAGGCGATTCATGATCCAACAGCTGGGGAGACACAGCAGCCCCCAAGGGCTCCCTTGGCGGGCAGTTTGCAACTGTGCCTGGATTGGGTTGGTGTGAACTTTGAAAGAAAGGAAAGGGTATCTCTGCAGGGGGCACAGCTGAACAGGAAGGAGGGGGCGGAATGAGGAGAAGAAAGCTGGATGAGTGGCAGGAGGGACCCTCGGACCTGCAGGGAGGGTGTCCCCTCGGCCTGACTGTAATGGAATCACCCCCAATTCCTGGGTCGCTCCCTCCCCCAGACCCAGCTCTCTACAATATCCAATGGGACCCTCTTTTCCCAAGTTCTGAGCTCAGCAGGGCAGCTGCCTCAGCGCCGAGCTCCCCTGCAGCTGCCCTATGCTGGGCACTGGACGTGCCTGGCCCTAGACAGCTGAGCCCTGGCCTCTGGGCTCCCAGGGGGCCAGGGGAGATAGAGCGAGCCGCTGCTGGTGGGTGGGGGGATTTTATTGCCCCATAACCATCTAAAGGAATGAGCGGAGCCTAGAGTGGCATCTTGCCCTGCTGCCCTATGTTCCTTCGTGCCAGTCCACAGATGGGCACAGGCCTCCTGGGGGATGAGGTACATGGTGCCCAGCAGCCTGAGTGGCCTACTTGAGCATGGGGTTCTGGCCTGTGAGAGCAGGTGTCATGGAGGGAGCTGCAGGGAGGGTGGGATTGAGTAGGCACAGGGGCGGGGAAAAGCAGCAGATGGGCTCTGAGGGGCAGTGAGTGCAGGAGGGGCAGGTCAGGGGGCTTGTCGGTTGTGGCTATGGTAGGTTTAGGGGCCCTGGGACAGCCAGGCGGACGTGGCCAGGGTAAGTGTGTACTCAGACCTGATGCTCAGAACAGAGGCTTGAGCTGGCGTAGAGGTCCTCAAGCCTCAGGGCACTGAAGGCCGGGGTGGGGGGGGCTCCCGGGAGGGAAGAGGAAGGAGGAAGACAGGTGGGGAGAGCCCTGAGGAGGGCTTCAGGGCCCATGGAGTTTCCTGAGATGGGAGCAGACCTGGCAGGAAAGCATGGCAGGAAACCACCCCCAATCTTATGCCAGAATGGGGAACCCCCTCCCCAGACACAGCTGGAGGAACACCAGTCGGCCCCCGCCACCCTTTGCCACCAAGTGCCCCCAGAACCCACGTGACAGGCAGGATCTGAGGGCAGGGTGCTGCTGGGCCAGGACGGAGGTTCAGGCGCCGTGGATGGGCAGAGGAGGAGAAGGAGAGAGGACAGCAGAGCACGCCAAGCCCCTGCCACTCTTCCTCCCCACCTCGCTGCGCCCGGCCTGCCCTGACTGCCCTCACTGCTTCCTGCTGCCCGCCCTGCCTGCTCTGGCCACTCAGCCCCGGCTCTGCCCATCTCTAGGGCCATCCAGGTTGGGGACAGGTCCCCATTAGGGAGAGGGCAGCCAGGGGCTGAGCTGCCCACTTGTCGTCCTGCGTTGGGGGTCCGCCTCTTTTATTTCTGTTTCTTCCTTCCTCCCTCTCACCTCTCTTGTGCCGCCTCACACCCTGCTCTTCTTCGCCCTTCCTGCACGTGCCGCCTGCCTGCCCTCCAGCCCACCGATGAGAGGAGCTGGGTGTACTCCCCACTCCACTATAGTGCACAGGCCCACTCAGCCTCCGACGGCGAGAGCGACACAGTAAGTGTGCCCACGGCCCTCCAGCCTGGCCTACTTGGGGCTGAGAGCATAGACCCCAGATGCCCCAATGACAGAGGGGGAAACTGAGGTCTGGGGTGGGGGGCAGGCCTGGGCCCTTACTATGTGGAGGCCCGTGGGGCAAGTATCTTGGGGCCAGGCCCCACCGTGGGAGGCCCATGGTGCGGGGGGGTCCAGCCCTGACCCACCCAGCCCTCACCTGCCTCTCTTGCCTCCTGCAGTAATTTCTATGCAGTCACCAACCCATAAGAATGGAGCACACACTCAGCGAGCCCAGCTCGGCCCAGAGCACAGGAGGTGCCACCTGGCTGCCACTGGTCTCACTCGCCCACGTCCTCCCCTTGGCGGTGGTCGCTGATGCTCCGGGCTGCAAAGCGATCGCCCCCGGCTCCGTTGACTACCTACGCCTGTGATACTGTGAACCTTCCTGAGTTCCCAATCATGTATTTATTTTGGGTCCTTACTCTTTGCACAGAGACAGCAGCACATGAGTGCTTTTTTGGATAAAGAAAAAAAGAACAGTGGAAAAAGAAGAAACTCCATTCTAAGCACTTTTTAGTTCTTTGCTATGCTTGCATGTGTCTTGCTGAGGGAACAAGACCTGTCTGCTGAAAACCCCACTCTGAGTTTCCGCAGGCACCTCCCTGCTCCACCTGCATCTTGGATGGGGCGCCTTGGAGGGAAGAGCCGCCAGATCCCCACTGGTTCCCAGGGCGCCTCTGGAGGCCACCCACTCAGGCCCAGCCGCTGCTCTCGGCTCAGGTTTGTGGGCCAGGAGCTGGACATCTGTCCTTGGGGAGGCCGACTGGTGGTCCAGGGCTGGCTACCACCCGGCTGACCCCTCAATCTCTCGACATCTGTTTCCCACCACCCCCTCCTCCCAGGTGACTTGGGGGCAAAAATAGCCAGGCAGCGAAGAGTACAGACACACGACTGCGCCTCTAGGTGGAGTTCAGGGCTGTGGACATCTCTGTCACCTGTGCGGACAGCTCAGTGTGTGGAAGATAGGGCCCAAGTGATGGGAGACAGCCTTTCCAAGCAGGCTTTCCAAAACAGCTGACTCAGAGGCAGCACCCATGCCCTCAGCCACAGGACTCCCCGAGAGCTCGTGTCCTGGAGCAGGGGCTCTCCCCGTGGGCGCACACGGGGCCTAGAGGGCCAGGCTCTCCAGCAAGAGTTCCCCCAACTGGGGTGGGGATCGTCTCTTTCATTTTTAAATGATGATGACGCCTGTGCTGATTAAAGGATAGGGAGAGAAATTCTTCATGAAGAACAATACGGTTGTTTTTATTTTTCTGTCATCTTCAGCAGGGGCAGCCATTCCTGGGCCCGGAGCTCCAGTGGGTGGCTGCCAGGTTACCCTGCTGTGTCCAGAGAAGGCTACTGGAACCAACAGCTTTGCAGGGCCTCTCCCTCCACCTAGACACACTCCCACCTCCTGAGGTGAAATATCAGTGGTGGCTGTCCCTTCTGTACTCTGCAGACCCCCACCAACTCAGTTCCACATGGGAGGAGCTGGGAACCGGCTCAGAGCGAAGCCACACCTTTTAGAAGAATTTCTCCGCTGCCCTGCTTCCCTGGTGGAGCCCCAGACAGCCAGACAACCCGCCGACCCAGGAACCTGAGTTCTTCAGTCCTCGCAAGCTGCATACGCTGTTGCTCCTTCCTGCTGTGCAGGTCCCTCATCCCACTTCAGACAGTCTGCTGGAGGGAGCCTGTTGGTCTGGCTGCTGTCTGCTCTTCTCTGGAGAGCAAGGCTGCACCCCGAGGGCTCTCTTCTCACTGTCAGCATGGGAGCAGCACCCCAGCTCTGAGCAGGGCCATGGGGGACACTCCATGCAGCCTGGGGAAAGGGACCCTCAGAGGACCTGTCAGAATAAGCTTGCAGGTGGCCTGAATAAGAAGCAAAAGTGCATCCTCTCCCTCCTGCCCAAGGAGCGTTTCTCCAGACCCTGGGGAGCACCCTCACCTGGATATCAGACTGGTGCCTGTCTGCAGGTACTGTGGCCAAATGCCACAAGTCACCAGTCTGTCCCTGACCACTCCCACCAAGAGGGAAGACAGGCAGAGTTCAGGAGGTGCATCTCAGGCCTGGGAGACTTAACAGGGACTGCTGTGTCAACCAAACGCCAACGAGAGAGCCCTCACCCAGGCTCCCAGAGACCAGGCACCATAGACATCCTGAGCCCTGGTGGAGATGGCCATTACAGCAGGCAGAGTCCTGGAGCAGTGGGCTCTGCGTCCCAGGCGTCCTTGGCCAGGGTATCTGGAGCTGTAGGAGCAAGGAGGGGAGCTGCCTGCGTGGCCCCCTCAGGTCCCCAGCCCTTGCTGGGTACCTCGGCCTTTCCTGAGTGAATCACAGAACAAATGTGCTGGTCGGATGCTGACTCACAGGAGTAATTTGCAAACCTCCTGGATATGACATTACTATTTTTGTTTGAAGTCAGGAAGACCCCTTCGGAGACCCATTTTGTGTTGTGTTCTTTGTCCCAGGACTGGGCAGGGGAGCAGGAAGGCAAGACCTTATTTATAACTGTACTGAACTCATGGCCTTCCTCAGACCCCTGACCAGGAAGGCCCTGGTCCCACCCAGCTGTCACCCTGCCCCCCCTACCCCATCCCCCAGATGGAAATCTGTAAATTGCCCTGTTTCCCTCCTGGCTCATCTCTGATGGCCGCTGTCGCTGAGAATGTGAGCAGCGTCTGACTTGCTGTACTGTAAAAATGAAAGGCATTTCCCGAGGCTAACAAGGTGGAGCCTTCTGTGAGTCCCCTGCCAGCCTCCTCTCCTCAACCCCTTTGCCTCCACCACCTGGCTCAGTGCAATACCCCCATCCCTGATGGGGTCTCTTGCCATGGTACTGTCGCCGCAGCCCCTCTGTCCCCATCCCAACCTTGTTTTTATGGCTGAACTGATTTTGAAACACAACGTAACTGCAAACCTTGTGTGTCTTAATTCTCACCGGGGCTTCAACGTGCTCAGCCCCCGGTCTGGTATGTGACAATCCAGAGTGAAGCCTCCTGTGGGCGCCTCTGTAACCTTGCAGCCACTGCTGGCCCTGATAACACTCGTATGCAGCCCCGGGCCCCATCCCCGCCGCCCCTTCCTCTTTTTATGTTGAAAGATCTCTCTAATAAATTGGGTAATAAGCATCTGCGCATTGTTGCCTCTCCGCGTTCCTGTGGTCTGGTTGGGATTTTGAGGACTGGCTGTGAGTAAGAACATAAACCCTCAAAGATTTAAAATAACAGAACCCAAATGTCTTCACTGCCTTGAGCTAGCCTCCTGGATTCCAGATCAGCCACAAAAAACTCAAAAGGTTCTGGCGTCAGTGCAGTCGAGCTCAAGGAACAAACATTCCCAAACGTTTGTATTCCTTCTGCCAGAATGGCTCATATTGAGTAATGCATGGACCCCATTTAAGGGGAAAATATTTCCCCTAGACTCAGTTTAAGAACTGAGTTGACAGTGAGATCCTGTCTGTAAGAAAGCTCTTGGAAACCCAGTTACAATCACAGATGCAGATGCAGGGTGGCTCTGCTTCTGTATAGACTAGACATGCAGCTGATCTGGAAGGTGCTTTCCTTACGTTCAGAGATTAGAAGTCAGATACTCTCATGGATGCATCTGCATTTTGAAGGTCTCAGGGCCAGGCCCCCCTCACGTTTTGGGCTATCCCATCAGCAGTACAGCCCACATCCCATAACAACCAGGGTGTGGGAGATGCTCTTCTGTTAATCCCTTTGGAAGACTCCGTGCCACCACCCCACCCTGCACCTTGGTACCAAGCCAAAGCAGCACATTTAAAGCCAGCATTTAGGATGGTGTTATGAAGCTGTATTTTAAGACAGAGATTTAAAGAATTAGCTTAAAATATTAAATACCAACCTCTGGTGGGCAAGGGGAGCTTGGAGCAGGTCTTTGGGATCCTCCAGATCTTCAGGCCTCCTGCCCTGTCCCCTATGGTCTATTCTCCCCTAACAGCCAGTGCTGCGTTTATCCCTCCCACGAAACAAAGCTGGACCACCCAGTTCAAATCACAGCTGCCTCTTTGGGGTCGCAGAACGGTGGCTAAAGTAACTGTCCCGCTCTGAGCCTGTTTACGCATCTATGCAATGGGTTGAAAGGAAACTAAGGGAGTCATCCGAGACGTTTTTGTAAATTTAATCCCTGAAATACTTAGGTATCCATTGGCGGATGGTGGAGCATGATAGTGAGTCTCATAAAAGCTCGGCCCAGCATGTGAGACTTTTCAGTCTCCGTCCCAAGTCCCACGCTTCGCCCTCTTGAGGGGTCGGGACTCGAACCTACTATCTTCGGGCTTCCCCGCCTACACCGCCCACTAGACCTCACTACCAGGACGTGTCTCCCCGGGGTCCTGCCCTCAAGGCTCCACCTACTCCCTGAACCCGCCCCTTCTCGGTCCCGCCTCCCCAGGCCCCGCCCCACTAACAGTCCCTGGTTCACGTTCGCTCCGCGCACTGCAGGTTGGGCTTCCTATCCTAAGACACGAGGACCCGCTTGGGACTGCCCCTGGCACTGCCTGAAGGGCGAATCCCAGACCCTGGAGGCCACAGTCTGGCTGGAGTCTATAACGCGGACCACGTTTGCAGAAAGTGGGAAGTTTACAAGGCATCGGAGTCCTTGCGGATGGGGTGGCGGAATGGGTTCTCACCCCCTGGCTCAGGCTCGGATGGGACAGCCTGGCGCGCGCGACGCGACCGAGGAAGGCCCTCGGAGCAGACCCCGGATATTTGTGTCAGCGCCACAGCCACCGTCCCAGCTAATGGGTCGAGACACACGGTCTCGTTCGCGGTCAGCGTGTCGCAGGGGTCGCAAGAGCCGAAGGCAGCGGAGCCGAAGCGGGAGTCGAAGCCGACATCGAAGCGGAAGCCATGGGCAGCGAAACCGGCGGCGCCGGGACGGCGAGGAGCGGCGGAGGCGACGAAGCCGGGAGCGCAGGTGGGGTCACTGCGTGATCTGTGCCGGGGATCCGGCTCCCGCCCTGGGGAGCGGGGGTTAGTCAGGAAGGGCTTTCTGGAGAAGGGGACGTCAAGCAGCGTAAGGAAGTGAGAGGTATTCCAGGCAGGGGATCCGATGTTTGGAGGGACATCAAGGAGCCCAGTGAGCGAAGCAGGTGACAAAAGTAACGGGAGACCAGATTGTGCAGATTCTTGTGTATACGGTGAGGGTTTGGCCATTATTCGTAAGGGGACCATGAGAGCATTTTGAATAGGGGAGTGACGTGGTCTCACTTTGCCGAACTCCCTCTGGCTTTCGTGGAGAAAGGACTGACTGGGGGGTGGAGGGGAGGCAGGAGTGACACCAGGGAAGAGGAAGAGGAGAATGACACAGTTGTCCAGGCAACAAATGATGATGGCCTTCACGAGACGGAGGCGGTGGGGGGCGCAATGAAAAAGTGGGTAGATTTGAGTGGGGTTTCAGAAGTAGAGGTGACAGTACTTGTTAATGGAGGTGGGTGTGAGAGGGAAGAACTGTTGATGACAGGTGGCAGGACTCAGTTGACTCCTAGGACCTGGGTCTCAGCTTCCTCATGGCCTATAGCCCTTCTCTTCTGGATGTGGGGCACCTTGCCAGACTTGGCTTGAGTCTGTTTCAGCACACAGGAACCAGCACAGTGACGGGGACTACTCCAAGACCAGCACTGGGTTCCAGTGCTGGCTCATCCCCTAACAGGCCATGACACTCGGGCCATTCTCTTCCCCACTGTGACCAACGTTTACTTGTCTGTTCCCTTAAGATTTCCATGGGGCCTCTCCAAACATACATTGTCTCCCATTCCTCCAGCCCAGCAATTTTCAACATTTTTTCGTCTCATGACACACATAAACTACTAAAATTCTGCAACATACCAAAGAAATATACTTTTTGCCGATCTGACAAAAAAAAAAAATGGGTATAATTTTGATTCATTCACACTGGATGGCTATTGTGTTGGCTGTTGTCATTTTTTTTTGTTTGTTTGACAGTCTAAGGAAAAGGATGTTGGTGTCCCTGACTAAATAATCAGGTACTGCTTATGTTAAAAAGTCCTGCAGTATACTGGTTGAAAATTGCAACTCCAGCCTGCTCTCCACACCATAACCAGAAAAGCTGTAGTCAGACACAACTGATTGCCCTCTAGGCCAAGAAGGTAGCTTTTCCTTTTGAGCCTCCTAAGATCACTGCCACCCAGGAATTCCAAGGAGTTATAAGCAGAAATATTGAAGAGATGCTTTAAACCAGGGCTTGGCCAACTACAACCTCTGACCAAGAATACTTTTTACATTTTGAAACGGTAAGGGAAAAAAATCAAAAGAACAGTATTTTATGATATGTGAAAATTATATGAAATTCAAATTTTTGGGTCCCAAAATGAAATTTCACTTGAACACACAGCCATGTCCATTTGTTTACATACCTTCCACAGCTGCTTTTTCACTACAACAGCAGAGCTGTTTTTTTACAGGAAAAAAATTTGCTGACCCTGGGTTAAGCCTAGTGTTCATACTTTAGGTCACATGGAATAATGTCTTGTTATTATCATCTTTGTTTTTTTTCTTTTTACTGTTCGTATTTGGATTATTCACAAGAATTAACCCCCCTAGATACGTAATTAATGTTGTTTATAAAAATTTGGTCACATTTATAGTCCATGTTCAAGGGCTCCAAAATAATTGGATTTCATAGATCAGATTTTTTAACATGAGCTTAATAGGTGGAACATTTAACAAACTAAAAACAGATTTAGTTTTACCTCTCCTCGCTCAAAGGCCTTAAAATACTAAAGAATCCATTCCTAGGGGCTTACTCATTCTGTTCCTTATTCCCAGTGCCCTTCCCTGGCCCTTTATTGCTGTCAATTTCATTCCCATTCACTCCTGCCCATCCTGTACGACTAGTTTAAACACCACCTTCTTTGGTACGCCCTCCTTGACACCTTGGAGAGATCAGATCCTCCAGTTCAAACACTTCCATAGCTCTTGTACCATCTAGCTCCAGCCTACCCCCTGCCCTCATCTCCTCACTCTCCCTCTTACTCTGCTCCAGCCACGTGGGGCTCCTTGCTGTTCCTTGAACTTGCCAAGTAAACTGCTACCCTAATGCCTTTGCTCTTGCTATGTCCTCTGCCTGGATCATGCTCCACCCAGATCTCTCCATAGCTTCCTCCCCCACTTCCTCCAGAGTTACCGCCTCAGGGAGACCCTCTCTTACCTTCTGTCCCCTAATTTTATTTATTTATTTATTTGTGGCTCAAAGCACTATCCAGTATCCACACTGTGTGTTTACTTGTTGATGTGAGCCCCACAAAGAAAGGGACCATCAATGCTTTGGTCAGCACTCATGTTCTCAGAACCTACAACAGTGCCTGGCGCACAGCAGGTGCTCACTGAACATAGGTCAAACAAATGACTGACCAGCAGGCAGTGAGCAGACCCTTTTGGATTCCTTCCCCAGGTCAGATTCAGAGGAAGACCAGTGGCAGCGGCGAGGGAGGCAGAGCCGGAGCCCACAACCACCACGATGGCATTCACAGGACCAGTCCTCTCAGTCTGACTCAGGCAATGAGCAGCATTGGCAGCAGCGGGCCCGCCGCCATCGGACACGCTCCTGGTTTCCACGCTCCTCCTCCTCCTCCAGCTCTGCATCCCCAGACCACTCCCAGAGCCCACGGGAGGCAGCCGCGGCCCTGAGCCAGCAACAGAGCTTGCAGGAGCGGCTGCGGCTTCGTGAGGAACGGAAGCAGCAGGCGGAGCTGATGAAGGCCTTTGAGACACCTGAGGAGAAGCGGGCCCGGCGGCTGGCCAAGAAGGAGGCCAAGGAGAGGAAGAAGCGGGAGAAGATGGGCTGGGGTGAGGAGTACATGGGCTACACCAATACCGACAACCCCTTCGGCGACAACAATCTCCTGGGTACCTTCATCTGGAATAAGGTGAGCCAGTCTTATGAAGCGCCTGGTGATTAGTTCTGTGTTTGTGCCTTCGCAAAGTCTTCCTGCCTTTCTGATTATTTTTATTTCATATACTTTTTACAAGTTCTGTTTCAACAGATGTTATTTAGCACACGTAGCATACATTTCCCAGGCTGCACTTTGCCATGTGGAATATATCTTACATGTGAGCACATACATGCACACACAC